ATCTTCGGCTTGACAGAGTTACTAGTTTAAATTGAAACTCGTTTAAAATTTAATACTAGACAGAAAATGAACTAAACGTCGCATCTATAATTACGTATTGGATGCATAATTATGGTCTTCCCAGCATCAAAATTTCATAGGCAAATTTATACAATTAATCGTATAACGAACAAGTTCGTAATTTAATTTGGAATATAATATATGATACGATGTAATTATAAAATTATTAGTAACTGTTCGTGTGTACTAGTATAATTAACGTGGCAACATTCTCTGATTTATTACGAAGACGAAAGAACTCATTATTCATAATCGTCCTAATGACTGACTCTACGTACGAAAAACTATTTCCACGAGAACAACTCCAAACTAATAACACTTGAAACGTTTGTCTCGCTCCAAGTAATTGCTCTATTTTGAACACTTTATACACTTCAACGCGTTATCTGCATATTTTTGCATAGTCTACCATCAATGCGTAAACATCCGCAGTTTGTTAAAAACATTGAAATCGGACGAACCGCGTTAAAATAACAAGCACAGAATTTTATTCAAATCAAGCACACACGCACGCTCACGCCCACGCAGCGTATCCACGGCTGTTTGCTATTGAAAAGTTAACAAACTGGCAAATCGATCTTCGAACATCGGTACCCGATGCAAACATTGGCAACAGGGAGTAGTTAGCATCATGACAATAATCGTCTAATTCGTTTCAAATCCGCTCGAATGAAATTTCAAAATGTTTCGTGCAACAGCGAACAAAAATTTCTCTAATGTATATGAAAAATATGAAATAATTATAAAGTATAAAATATTCCTAATATATAAAAATGTAAAATAAATATAAAATATCCCTGATACATAAAAATATAAAATAAATATAAAATATCCCTAATAAAAATTCTACGATACATACAACTCGTCAAATTCGTTTCAAATCCGCCCGAATGAAATTTCAAAATGTTTCGTACAACAGCGAACAAAAATTTCCCTGATGTATAAAAATATGAAATAATTATAAAGTATAAAATATTCCTAATATATAAAGATGTAAAATAAATATAAAATATCCCTGATACATAAAAATATAAAATAAATATAAAATATCCCTAATAAAAATTCTACGATACATACAACTCGTCAAATTCGTTTCAAATCCGCTCGAATGAAATTTCAAAATGTTTCGTACAACAGCGAACAAAAATTTCCCTGATGTATAAAAATATGAAATAATTATAAAGTATAAAATATTCCTAATATATAAAAATGTAAAATAAATATAAAATATCCCTGATACATAAAAATATAAAATAAATATAAAATATCCTTAATAAAAATTCTACGATACATACAACTCGTCAAATTCGTTTCAAATCCGCCCGAATGAAATTTCAAAATGTTTCGTACAACAGCGAACAAAAATTTCCCTGATGTATAAAAATATGAAATAATTATAAAGTATAAAATATTCCTAATATATAAAAATGTAAACTAAATGTAAAATATCCCTGATACAAAAAATATAAAATAAATATAAAATATCCCTAATATATAAAAATATAAATATAAATATAAAATATCTCTTATACATAAAAATATAAAATAAATATAAAATATCCCTAATATGTAAAAATATAAATATAAATACAAAAGTTTCCCCCTGATATAGGTAAAGAGCCACTGCGAAAATAAACGGGACATCCTGCGCAACGAAAAATGTTGAAAATTTTAGCGTTAGATACGAAAATCTTCGGAGGTAGGCGTGATTTTTTTCATAGTTATTTATAGATGTCCGTGATACGCTGGTTTTTGCAGCGTCACTTATATTAATATAATTGCCGATCTTAATGATTTTATCAACGTGAGAACACGGTTGGTATTTACCCAGCCGATAATTGTCACGTCATAAATATGTACGCCGATTGAGGTAATTAGAGGATCATTTGCGCGAATGACTTCATTTCGCTGTGCACGACTGAGACACAGCCGAGCTTTCAATGTCGCGCAACATGTCTAAGTGGCAATTGTACGTATAATGTACGTAAATGTTGCTTTGCTATTTCGTCGCTGGAGACCGACGACGCTATACACTTGGCAGCACGAACAAATGATCTTAAACACGTTCTTAATTAATGTTCGAGATGATCAGCCTTTGTTATACAAAGCGTTTCGTTTATTTGGGATACAATATGCGTGATAGTGGGCTCGTAAAAATAATTGAACACTTGTTAGAGAAAGCTTGCGCACGTGTGCGATATAGAGACGATCCCGCCAAATATCAAAGTATAAATTTTTATATACTTTGCAATATATATAAATTGCAAAGTATTTAAACATTTATACTTTAATATTTTATATATTAATATATATATATATATATGAAACACTTTGAAATTTTTCTAATATTAATAGGCACGATTATCGTGATCATATTATTGGATACTTGTTGCAAACGATATATGAACAGTGGTCTTAAACATGCGAGACGATCCCGCCAAATATTAAAGTATAAATTTTTATATACTTTGCAGTATATATATATATATATATATATATATTTATTTATTTAAAAATTTATACTTTATAAAATAATATTATATAAAATTTTTACTTTATATAATAATATTATATAAAACTTCCCTGACATATATAATATATATAAATATATAATAATATATATCTCTATATACAAGTATATTTTCGTATTTGTTTCAAATTCAACCAACATCGAATCCCCATTATAGCGTTAATGAAATCTCGAAATAGTTTCACATATTTACTACAGGCTAGATGATTAATAGAGGCATGTATTATTTACAGTGTCCAGCCATTATGAATAATAACAAAATCGGACGTTGCAATTAATTTCATTTTAACAAACTGCGGTTCGGCCGTCATTTGTAGTTCGATAATTATTCACGGCGGTAATTATTCGTACAGTATAAATAATAACCGATCAGTCACTTAGCCGGTAACATATTCGTAATTATTTTCCGCGAGTGTTGAAGTAATCTCTCGCGAGTGGTATTTCCATTTCAATGGAAACAGCCAAAAGCAACCTACAACGTAGAAAAGAAAAAAAAAACAAGTCTGATATTCGTCAGTGGCGAGATGTTTGATAGCCCCGTACACTGTTAAGATGTTAAAGCTAATCTCCTCGAGAATGTATTCATGCAGGAGAAAAGGGGGAGCAACACGCGTGCAACAGCGACGAAAGAAAGGGTCGACGTACAGTGATGAGCAAAATTGAGCACGCAAGTGCAATTTCAACGTAATAGAATAATGTAGAATATTAAAAAAAAAAGTAAAAAGCAAAATACGCAACGTTTTGTAGAATGTGTAACAATTTGTGGCTTTCCCAAAAAAATTTTACCACCGCGTTATCGTCGCTATTCTGACAAGATACAAACTGTTTTCCTACAGTTGCGCCGCAAATTAATTTAAATGAAAAATTGTCGATACTTTTGAACTGTCACAATTTCGCAAAAAAAGATGATGCAACGATCTATTTAGTCTCATTTTAAAAGTGAAACTTTTATTTCTATTATCCTGAATATGTTCCTTTTTTTTTCTGAAACATTTTAACATCATGTGACGAATAGAAAAAATTGTAAAAAGACTTTATTGGTCTAAATCCATGGTTTCGAAGTTTCTCTTCTTAAAATTTGCTGTGCGATTTCTTCTCATTTACCAAACTTAAATTTTTATTACCGACGACGAAAATCCAAGAAATTCTAACATTTCGTCATCTAACCCTAACGTTCAATGAAACAGCAAACAAGAAATCGTACGGCAAGGTTGAAGAACCCTTTCGTAAAGAAAAAAAAAAAAAAAAGTTTCAATTCTCAAGACTACGACGAATCGAGTCACGAAAAAAATTTTCCAACGTTATTTTTTATAATTTTCCAGAATAAGAACACGATGTAAAAAACGAGCTTTGAACAGTCAGAATAAAAAACTTTATGCTTTTCATAACGAGACCGAATAGGATTGTTTCGCGTGACTTTCTTCTACTGCGAAATTTGGAGATCGAGTACGACGATTGTTTTGCGTGACTTTCTTTCAGAGTGTCGACAAACGTCTTTTTCTAAATGTTATCGTGCGTTCGCTTATGCTATTCGCTCCATGTACCAATTGTCCGCGAGACGACGACGCGAGCCCGTGCAGTTTGCGCCGATTAAACGTACACCCTTCCGCATACTCGACGAACCTCCGTACAACGAGATTAATCGGCCCTTCTTGTGTACGCGGACGAACGCCGCTTACGTTGCTTACGCAACGTAACGCCGCTCCGAAAGTAAAAGAAAGAGGGAAAGAGCGGGAACAACGGGTTGGACAGAAGTCTGAAAGAATGACAGGCAGGTAGGCACACGAGCAAGAAGAGAAGAGGGTAGAAGATCGACGCGACGAAGGAACGATAGAAAGAGACGAAGAAGAATATATCCGTGCAAAAGTAGCCGTACGTGCAAGTACTTTTATATACATATACATATACATGTTCTAATGGGGCAGATCCTTTTATCAGATTCTAGTTTCCGTCTTGTCCAAATTTTCTATACAGATATTACCAAATGGATATTTCAAGAGACGTGTGTGTATCGCCAGTTTCTCGACCGTCAAGAAACTAAACTATTACTTACTTGAAAGGTCACGTAACTGAGGAAATTTATATAATTTAATAAACGATATTTATATTTACATTACAGCGTCTGACAAACATTGTAAAACATTTGATAAAAGATGATGGGTCATAAATATCCTTAATTGATCAAACGATTCGCACGATGCCGGACGTTTATCGCACGTACTTGGAGCTAATTAATTATTGTATAAATGCAACAATAAATAGAACGTGTGCGACAACGCTCTCTGCAAGAGAGTCGTCGTAAGAGAGGGAAACAGCGAAAGAAGGAAAGAAGACAGAGGAAGCGAGCGAGCGAAAGAGAGAAAGAGAGAGAGAGATTAAATTGACGGGCAATAGAAGGAGCATTACATACCGTCCACAAAGCATGACGTGTGGAATAAACAGAGGAGCGCCAGAGCGAGAAAGCTCGCTATGCCGCCGTCGTACGCGCCTCTCATCTTCGCTCGAGTTATCCTCGTGATCGTTGTCGTGTTGTTGTTATTGCTGTTGTCGTCGTCGTCGCCGTCGTACTCGTCGTTGTCCTCGTCGTCCACGCACGGCCTTCGCAATCCTCTCTCGCGAAAAAGGAGGAGATTTTCGCGAAAGCGGCCGTAGCTCAATGGCGACGACAGCAAACGGCGACACGAGGATCGCGATCGACGTAGCCACGGCGGTATCTCGATGCCCGGAATATCATCTTCTTGTGTCGACGTGGGAGCTAAGGCGAAGTTCCCCGTCGACGGAACACTTGTCACCGTTGATCGCCTCTCGCTCTCATGCGAGCGCACACGCGTGCACAAACGGAACGGAGCACAGTGGTTCTTCGTTACTCGATTTTCGTGTTGTTTTTCCTTCGTTTCTCTCCACGTCCCGCTCTCATCTCGTAACTCATGGTATTCGCGCTAACGAGGTCCCTCCTTTTTCTCTCTGCGCCTCACTCTCTCACTCTCTCTCTCTCTCTCACACACACACACACACACACACACACACTCTCTCTCTCTCTCTCTCTTTTCTTTCTTTCTCTCTCTCTTTCTCTTGCGTTTTTCGTTTACCGCGCCGGACAATCGAACACCAACTACGTCGTGCACTTTACACCGCAAACGATCGAAACGAAGGAAACGAAAGATCGCTTTTCCCTTTCTTTTTTTTTTCTTCTCCCTTGCTCGCGTGCGTGAACTCGGTCGTTTCACGCAAAGAGCCTCGTTGCCCCTCGTCGTCTACGCCGCGCAAGGCGAGCCGCCATTTTCCTACTGTGCTGATAGGCCCGGCCTATTATCCCTGTTGGCCAACAAAAAGAGAGGCCTCGCACCGACAAGGAGAAAAGCAACAGCGAACGGTAATGATTCACTGACACTTGGACGAATGGTTCGATCTCGCGCGGATCACGCGGCACCAGCACTTTGACATCATCGTCCGGCCTGTTAACGTAACCTCTGGAGAGTACTGTCACGCGGACTTCCACTCGCGAATTTCCACGGCGAGACGCAGAGCGACTCGTGCTGCTGCTACTGCTGCCGCTACTGCCGTTGCCGCCGCCGCCGCCGCCGCTGCTGCTGCTGCTGGTGCTGCTGCCTCCGCTTCTGCAACCAGTAGTTCGTTCAGCGGCGCCATCGCTCTTCCAAACCAGGGCCGTAAACACCGGTATCGTGACCGTGACGAATTATCTAAACTTTCTCACGTCGCTCGCGTTCCAATCTTCGCAGACAAGCCAAGGAACTATCGCTTTGGAGAAGGTTGATAAATTCAACAATCATTTTTTCTATCGATCGCTGTTGTACTCATCACGTTTATATTCTTCGATTCTTTGTGTAGCGACTACACTTGAAAATTTATTTCGAATTAAGGCTAACGACACTAGCGATAACTTTTCCAGAAAGAGAATGTTTCTGCGTAGTTTTTGAAACCGAGTTCCTCTAATTTTCGATCCCGTAGAACAGAATGTTGAGATACTTGTCTAAAAATAGTACAGCATTTCGCTCGAGGAATGTTAAAGGGATGTACGTGTATTAATGAAAGGCAGACGATAAAGACGGTGAATTAAAAAATTTTCATTAACATTTATTTATAAATCTCGTGTATATAACCACAAAAACGTAAAGATATTATGTTGCTTGGAATAAATCAATAGTAAATTATACATTTATACCAGTAATTGGGTACAATAAATAAATAGTTTTTGTAAAATTATCATGAATATTAATAACTCGTTAACCATCCAAGATCTTGTTTTTTTATAAATGATATAATATACAAAACAATATAACCAGAAACAAATATACCAAACGAGTTTGATGCACAATATAATACAATATACCACACATAATTGTTGATATTATTGCTTATTTCGTTTCATTCCTTCTTAATGTCATTACCACGAAAAAATGTAAGATTTTAAAACTACATGTCTCGCGATAAAACAGAGAACGATTTTTATAACAATTTTAACAATGGTAATACCATTAAGAACGAATTATTTGTTCTTGTAAAAATACTATCTAATAACAACGTAATATTTGTAATTGAACGGAAAACTAAGGGAACAGTTTTCCAAAAAATGCAATAAAGGAATATGGAAGTATGAAAACTATAATATTCCACATAATTACTAATACATTCTTTTAAAAGTAAAATATTGGCATTGTACTGTATCATACAATGCGACAGAGTAATTAATAAAGAATCGCAGTCACAATGTATTAGTATCAAAGACTTGCAATACATAAGTATACTGTGTATACGTAATATATATTGCACAAAAGGTAAAGGAATATTTCTCTTTTGTTTTTTTAGATAGGATCTTTCGCTGTAAATCGCATAAATGCCCATAATCGATAAAATCATAATACTTGTAACAGTGACAGAAATAATACTTCGGGACTTATCGTCATAATTATAATTGCCGATATCTACACATCAAATTATGTAAAAAATATATATAAGCGTTTGATCCAACTGACATTGTCCGTTATTATAAAAGGTTAAGACAAGCAACGTGTATTAGGTACACATTGTGCTCTCAAAAAGGCGTAAATGGCTTTGAACATTTATCTCGATCTTTCAAAATCTTGTAATTCTACACATTACGTGAATTTGGAAAAGTTAAAAGATAACTCGCTATCTCACAGAGTTTGTAAAAGAGGAAAATGCTTCAAGCAAAAGCAAACACCTTTTGCATCAAAATCATAAAGTGGATAATATAAAATCTAGCAAATTTTAGAACTTTAATCATTTACAAGATTTTAAAAGCATTCGTATGATAATTAAAATATTTATGAAGTTCAATGATATCATACGACAATCTGCGTAAATTTATTCATATTTGAGTTTGACTTCCCCATGCTCTTGAAAGTACGGATCTTGTAATCCTTTTGCCAATAGTCTGTACGATGAAACCTATTTTTTGTAATCTATCATGATCCAGAATCTTCCTCCCATCAAAAATATATGCAGGTTTCATCATGTTGATATAAATTCGTTTGTAATCCAATTCCTGAAAAGAATAATATCGTAAAGGCATTTTCGAAAATTCTATAGAATTAAACTTATGAAATTATTGATTAAATTACTTTAGATTACTTACTACAAATTCATCCCATTCCGTGCACAATACTATAGCGTGTGTACCTTTCGTAACACTATAAGCATCTTTATAAATACTGATTCTATTTTTTACGTATTGCGGATCATTAGTTACACTCGGATGCGTCAAATCCTCGATTATTTGACTCTCTTCAACCTTGGTAAAAAAAAAACGTTTAGTAACTAATCAAATTAAGTGCACTCTTATCGAAGATCGGATACTCTTATCACCTTGGGATCGTATATATGGAGCATAGCACCCTCGTCGAGCAGAGTTTTGGCAACATGAATGGCCGGTGATTCACGTGTGTCACCGGTATTTTTCTTGAAGGCGAAACCCAGCATAGAAATCCTTTTATCCGTGACAGTATTGAACAGAGATTCTATTACTTTCGCTGAGAACCTAGATTTCTGGTATTCGTTCATGTCTATGACCTGTTGCCAATAAGCCGCCACCTCGGGTAAATTTAAACACTCGCAGATGTACACCAGATTAAGAATATCCTTTTGAAAGCACGAACCGCCGAACCCGACCGACGCATGAAGGAACTTCGATCCTATTCGTGAGTCAAGGCCAACCGCTCGTGCCACTTCGGATACATCCGCACCAGTCGCTTCACATACTGCCGACAAGGAATTTATGCTTGATATGCGTTGCGCCAAAAAGGCATTGGCAGCCTAAAATCACAGTTCATTCGAATAATTATGCAAAAATTTCACGTTGATTACGATTGGACAACAATAAACAGCTGTTGCGACATAATATATCTAGATATAAAACATGTCGCTACATATTTGATAAATAACGTTTCCTTTATTATTAACTTTTCCAATATTAATTAAGTACACGTTACGTAAACGTAATTAATTTCGCAAATTAATGAACAGCAAACAGCAGTGATATTGTTTCGTCAGCAAGCGAATATTTTGTTTCAGTGCTTTTACCAGCTTGGATAACTCCGAGCTCCAAGTATTCGTGGTTAAAATATTCTTCCTTGGAATCCAGTGCTCGTAAACCTTGCATAATTCCTCGATGGCTGCCTGCCCTTCTGGTGAATCCTCGCCACCGATTAAAACACGATCTGCGTTCACTAGATCCTCGATCGCGGTCCCCTCCGCCAAGAATTCTGGATTTGATAAAATCTGGAAAGGAGATAATAAATATTCTGTTACTTTCATTTTGCACAGTTGCGTCGATGATACAACCGAGGAACGTGATACAAATAATAAAAAGATTGATTACTGAGAAAGAAAAAAAAAAGGTCATGAACGATACGTGACGAATAAATAGCATCTCGAGTAGAATTTCTTGTACACTTGAGCAAGTAAGTATAAACTCAACAAATATTGAATCAGTTGATTTCAAAGCTTCGTTGTTAATATATGTTAATATAATGGTAATAGACGTAAGCAGGATCGAGGTGATAGAAATATTCCTGAAATGGTAAATTGCAAAATTAAATATTTACATATGTTTGTGCGTGCAGTTGATAATTGTCAAAATATTTTCATTTGAAAACTACGTTCTACAAAACAATTAGCATTTATTCTTAATTACGAGAATCAATTAATTGATAACTCAATTTTTAAAAATCTTCTGAAACACCAGATAACGTGATATTTTAAATAATTAAAAAGTGTAGGCATAGTCTATAAGTAGAAAAAAATATATATATATATATCAATCAACATGCAGTAAAAGATGCATCTGGAAAGCTTAAAAATAGCTTTAAATGCTACAGTAATGTAATTGCATTACGAGCGAGAGACGACTGTACTAAATTTCCTTTGCTCTTGTTTTACTTCGATATTCAGTCCAGTAAACTATATATCTACCCAATCCTAGCTTCTGATGCACAACGGAGCACCGGAAGCCAGCCACGTGGCGCTCGACCCATTACTCTCCAGACCATTAAATCTTGTCTGCAGAGAGCAATGAAAGTGAAACAAAGAAGTTCCAAGAAAACAGTTTATACTTTGATCAAAGTAATTAGCATTTCACGATCATGTTGCACAATAATTTATAATTTGCAAGATTTGATTGTAAAATCATTCAACCTTTTTTATTATCATACAAGAAAACTTATTAAGAGTTTATAAGTTTAGATAAAAGATTAGATTGCGAATGTAAAGTACTTAAAATTCATTTGTAAGATACAAGAAATCTGTATTTCCATCTGGTTCCATTTCTTTAACTATAGACACAAGTGGTCTACTCGCGATTTGTAAAAATTTCCGGATATTATATTGACTTGATTGTGCAACAGTGTGCGAAAGGTGAAATTGAACCATTTCTTACTTCTCATATTCTCTTGCACGAAATCGTCTATTTTCGACAATTGACATATTTGCATACGCAATCAGAACAATCGATGGCGATTTCAGCCGATATAGTTAATGCGCTAAATTTCCGTGGAAGGAACGTTACCTGATACGATACTCCTGGCTTATGATTGGCATGTAAAATATTCATGATACTCTCCGCCGCTCTGACTGGGACCGTGCTCTTCTCAACAACGATTTTGTCCCCGGTCGCAATTTCCGCGATCATTCTAGCCGCATTCTCGACATACTTCAGATCGGCTGCTCTCCCTTTCCCATTGCCAAACGTTTTCGTCGGCGTATTCACCGAGATGAAAATTAAATCAGCCTCCTGGATCGCGGTCTCCATGTCCGTAGAAAAGAATAAATTCTTGCCGCGACATTTGCGAACAACGTCGTCAAGACCTGGCTCATAGATCGGTAGCTTCTCCGAGTTCCATTGTGCAATTCTTTCTTTGCTCTTGTCCACCACAGTCACTTGAATCTCTGGGCATTTCAGAGCTATCACGCTGCACGTTGGTCCACCTACGTATCCAGCACCGATACCGCATATCTTTTTGATGGTCATGTCGATCGGCCGATATTATACCTATTAATCATATAAACTACCGCTAGTTATCATCTTCAAGGCAAAATAACTTTTATAGAATAAATGGAATAATATTTATTCTGAATAAATTTTATTATCATGATATATTATGTAATATTATAATATAGAATAAACAGAATAATTTTCTATTTTTATATTAGATACTATAACAATAATCATTGGCTATTGCTAGGTATAGTGGTTGCAAAAAGCATTTACGTGTATCTTTATCTCTAATGAAACGTTTCTTTATCAAGTTCTACGTTTCATTTTTATATCAAGTACTTTTATGAAACACTATTAACCGATGTGAACATTTAATATATTTTAATCTAATTAAACATTAAATTACTTATACAGTAAATAAATATACGATAATATGCAACTACTTCAGTCGCTATACTCACGTTTTATAGGCTTGTGAAGTTGCAGTAAACGGATAGCAAATGGTATAAAATTTTTATCTCGTATAAAAAATCGTTATCAAATACCAAGAATTGTAGCTGCAATATAGTATTATAGTGATTTATTATCGGCAAACATATTTACACCGACATTCGCGCGCACTGAAGTCTTCTAAATTAAGAAGCATGGTGATAGTGTTAATCTGTGATTAAATAAATCGAAATCGACCAAGAAAATATCTTCTCCTTGAAAGGAGATATTCTTTTATTTAATTGAGAATTGAAAATGTACTCATTTTTAATTAATTAACATCTACACGCATTATTGGTTTGAGTAAGATATACTAATCAATGAAAAAGATCGTATACCGCTTTATATGTAAATTTTATGTAAATTTAATTCAGCAAATGTCAAATATTCTCAGTTCAACCGTTAACGGAGCACTGTGCGACGAGTTCAGCATACGATGAAAGTAACGACCATAAAATCGATTACTAACTTTAGACAGATAGAATTGATAAATTAAGACCAGCAATGATATTTAAGTGGCTATACTTGAACTAATACTAACATCACCTGCAGCTAATGATCCTAAAAGCACGCCCAAATAGAGAAAATACGAGGTTTCTCGGAACCGACAATGGGATGGAAATGTAACGATAAGTTGAAAAAACTACTAACCATCCAGATCACGTACTGTCACGAGCACACTAATAAACGAAAATCTCTCGAATACGAAACATCAGCATTCATGACAGATACGTATCGTAGACGGATTGTCGACACATTCTGAACACTGACATGGTCACTACACTTGATCAGAAAATAGTCTAAACTGGAGATACGTAGATCGCACGCGCAAACCGGATTCCAACCATTTCTCGTCGTTAGTGATTCTGCGCACGCGCGCTCCGAATAATTTCAATTCGTTACCGCGCTTTTCAAATTCATTTTTGACGAGAATTTTTGAACTTAAAATTGATTATAACTTTTCGTTTGTTTATACAAGTCAGGTAGTTGTATTTTACTAATGACACGTTCTAAATCGATATCATTATTTCAATGCTTCATATGCATGTAATCGTGACTTAGCAATTACATTTATATATCAATTAATAGTTGATGATTATTCGAATTAATTCTGTGTGATAAAAGGATTTTTTACAGGCTTATACATATTTTTATAAATGAAATAATAATTATTTTATATGGTGGAATCATATTGTTTATCCTTGTTTCTTTTTTATACTTGAAAAAATTATTTAAAATTATTATTGATTGTGATTACGAAAAATACAAATAGTTTCTTTTTTAAAAATGATTCTATCAAGAGTTTATTCTCAAGTGGCGCTGTTGCATACTTGTGGTGGCGCTGCTGTGTGAATCTCTCTTTACGTTTTTGGTGGTCGTTCTTCTCGTTGCGCTAAGCAAAGTGCGAACTTTTATATCCGTCGTGATATAAGAGATCTGTTAAATTTATTGCCAGAACCATGGTTCAGAAAAAGGTAAATCTACTAAATTGCCGAATAAAATCAATATTCCTAACGATAACGATTTATTGTCATAAATTACAATGGTTAGAATTCAGCATGTTTTGAACATGTTATGTTATAAATATATCATTCTTATGGATATTTCATTATCATATTTAATTGCTTACCAAGTTTATAAGCTTATTAGGTTAGAAATAATATTTAAGATATACTTATATTTAAGATATAAATGTTTAGAAGTTATAAAAGTTCTAATCTCATTTTTGAGGTTAACTGCAACTACATTTTGAACGTATACATTACTTTGGTAATAAATGCATAGTAACATTTATAATATAAATGGTATAATTAATTATACATGGTAAATTAATATATACATTTTCATGAAAAGCCGAAGAAGAAGGTAGGAAAAAAGGTGGCTGCTGCACCTTTGGCAGTCAAGAAGATTGAACCCAAAAAGCAAACTAATCCCTTGTTTGAAAAACGTACTCGTAATTTTGGTATTGGTGAGTACACAAATTAATTGTTATGTATTAATATTAGTTCACGTATATAATAATAAACAATCTATTATTTAGGACAGGATATTCAACCTGCCCGTGATTTGAGCCGCTTTGTAAAATGGCCCAAATATATTCGTATTCAACGGCAGAGAGCTGTACTGCAGAAAAGACTGAAAGTACCACCACCAATCAATCAATTTACACAGACATTAGATAAACAAACAGGTTTATTTATTTCATATTTATCACATGCGTTAAGAAAATTTATAAAATTTACTTATAAAAATATATTAACCTTTTATGTTATAGCAACACAATTGTTCAAAATGTTAGAAAAATATAGACCTGAATCAGCTACTATGAAAAAGATGAGGCTAAAAGCTAGAGCTGAACAAAAAGTTACAAAAAAAGAAGATACACCAACAAAAAAACCTAATATGCTACGTAGTGGAACAAACACTGTCACTACCCTTGTAGAACAAAAAAAAGCTCAGCTTGTGGTAATCGCTCATGATGTTGATCCAATTGAGGTAAACTTTTTGCTTTTTTTAAAATACATTTTAAGAAATTGTTCCATGACAATGATGTTTGAATTTCTTCACCTGAGAATAAATTTAATATAAACAATTCTTTTCAAAGGATGAAATATGACACTGAGTGATACATAGTTTGAGTTATCAAATACTAATTATTGTAATACTCTCTTTTATTCACCCATTGTCTCTTATTACAGGTTGTTTTATTTTTACCAGCCCTTTGTCGTAAAATGGGCGTACCTTATTGTATTGTGAAAGGTAAATCACGGTTGGGACGTCTTGTCAGGCGTAAAACTTGTACTGCAGTGGCTTTGGTACAGGTAAGACTTTTTATTAAAGCAATTATTCTTATATAAAATGTAGTTATTAATCATTTATAGTATGATGAATTTAAATAGAGCCAATCCAATGATATTTTAATGATATAATTAAACATTGTGTTACTGATGTAATTTTACTAGTTTTGTGTATCGTAATTTTAGTTTTATTATACTTTTGGTAATGCGTTATTTCTATGTTAGGTTGATTCCGGCGATAGAGCCAATTTCTCGAAATTGGTTGAAGCAATTAAGACAAACTTTAATGATAGATACGATGAAATCCGACGTCATTGGGGTGGTGGTCTGTTGGGCAGTAAATCTGCTGCTAGGATAGCTAAATTAGAGAAGGCTAAAGCAAAAGAACTTGCACAAAAGCAGGGTTAAATATCTATCTGGTCACTGAATATTGTTTTCTATGTACAACAATAAAACAGAAAATTAAAGATTCCGTTGTTTTAGTAATACAAGTCCTTTGATTAATTTAAAATAATTTTGAAAGATGAAACCTTTTCATTGTATAAGAACAATTTTTATTTTATTGAAATAAAATAAGAATTATGGAATATTAATATTTAAAATACCTTTATAATTACAAATACATTTAATTTCAATATGTACAATTGAAGTTTTACTATGAAACATTCATATTCTCTTTTTAATTAACTTTTCCAATCTTTTTATTCGACCAGCTTCATGTTCGGGACTATCTTGAATAATGTAATTCCTAGTGTCATGTGAAATATCTATATTTTCAGGTTGCTTAAACTGTTCGAGTAATAGAACTTGTTCTGTTTTTTTCAAACCCTAAGAATTATTGAAATTTTAATATAGGTAATAAACGTTTTAAATGTTTATAAAAGAAATTAACTTACCTTCATGTCCAGAATTTTTTGAAATTCTGGCGCTTGTAAATCGGGTAAACGTATTCTACATTGTTTTACAAAATCTTTTGGAGATTCTATAGGTGACATCACAATTTTGAGTATCATTTCGGCACTTGCCATGCCTTTCACTACAACCTATTTATAAGTAAAATATGTGATTTAGTGATAAGTAAGTGTAAAAATTTATATATGTATCAAAAAATATTACCTTAGTGTACGTGGCGGGTGCTTTTCTTTGAACTTGATATCCTGTTGACGGGAGATCTAACAACGCAGTTTTCAACATGTGTACGTCTAATAATAATTGTTCAGCACCAACAGTATTTAAAGGTTTACACTTGTACAATTGCTGTACTAACTTTACTATAAACGAACTGCAAAGAAATTTTTCATTAGGTTTTTTAATAACATTTAATAATAATAATATAAATTCGTTCTATTTTTCAAATACCTTGCAAATTTCACGCATAGTTGAGTAAAATATTTTCTACATGACGACAACTTATCTCTGATAGTAGGTATTGTTTGTCGAAGATGTGCTACAATGGTATTAACATAATTACTTTGATCACCAACAACCTCAATGGCACTCCATTGAACCTAAAAAACATTTATCTATCAGTAAAAACAGATAAAATCATACATATAATAATAAATATGAAATTGAGTACCTTTGTCATTGCAGTTAATGCAGATTCGCATGCAGATTCCAAATCTTGAACAAGTAGTTGTATACAATTTGATATAACACTAAAAATAATCATGAATTGTGTTATGAAAAAATTTATGAAATATCCTATAAAAAAATATAATGCATACTTATGAAAAATATCTTGTTCCTGAGATAGATTAATTTTTTCTGAGTAACATTTATCTGTTTTCTCTCTTAGTTTTTCTTCCAATTGTTGTGTTGTTTCTAAGCAATATTCGGCTGTGGTTAGTATACTGAAATATAATTTTGTTCAGTTTATTTTCTCCCAAATATTAATTTAAAATGTTTTCAATTAGCAAACTTTTACCAGCATATACGTGATTGCTCTTCTTTATTGAATCTAGTACTTTCACCTTCCTTTAGAAAACTTTGAAAATTTTGTATGAAACCCGAAGTTGAAAGATCTCGAAAATCACGTATACTACTCATACTAGTAGCAATGCCTGCACCACCGCCAATTCTATAATAAATTTTAATTATAAAATATCATGATTCATAAATATAGTTACCACAAAAATAAAAAGTATATTTTACTTACTTGGGTAAATTATTTTGCAATATTTTAAGAGCATATTCTCGCAAATATTTTTGAAAAGTTTCAGCTAAATTCAACATAATTGAACCAGTACTAAGTTGTGTACATTGTAACATACATTTTTTGTAAAATATAAACAGATCTGCACAAGAAGATAATACGCTACTAGGACCCTCGATACCATCAAAATCTTTAGCACCTGGTGGTTGTGTTTTAGAATCTGATATAAATTTATCCATTAGGTCTGCCAGATTACGATCTAAACTCTCTATATAAATATTTAAATACGGCTCGAAACATCTTCCGATGAGATTTGAAAATGGCGATGGTTTTAGTTTTTCATTTTGTATCTGTTTTATAATACAACAATTTAATATCAGCATTAACTATACGATAATTTTATATAACATTTTAAAAAACGTGATACCTGATCATTTTGTTCGAATGGATTACCCGGAATTTTATTATCAGTTGTATCTACGGTAGTATTTTTCTTATTTGTCGTATCCACGTTTTCTAAAGTAATGCCGCTAAATCTTTTCGTTAACAATGATTCAAAATTACTAGTTCTTTGAATTGCATAAAGTAACAATTTTACATCTATTTCAGAACGTCTTTTATGCATTAACTTTGTAAGATCTTCTCTCGTAACATGACAAAATTGCACAGCAATTCGTTCAGAGACTTCCCAGTCTTGTGGGAAAATGGTACCAAACTTTGATTCAAAATCAAGTAAATGCTTTTTTATCCACATATAACGACGGTCTATTTTATCCAACCATGCAAAATCTTGATTTTCATCGAATAGATGTGCATATTCTTGTAACTGAATACCCACAAACCAGGTGAGTAGGTCTTTCCTTGTAAAAAAGATTAGTCTTAAAAGATTAGACTTAAAAAAGATTTGTGTTAAAATTTCTTAATATAATTAAACTTCTAATAAACATACTTGACTTTGGGATCTAATACAGATAATACCAAACAACCTTCGGTTAGTTGATTAAAGTATTTCGGATTTTGACCAGAAAATGCTTGTTTAAAATCTGCCGTAATTTGTTGAGCCAGTTCAACATGTATCTGATGTACCTTTATTTCAAAATATTTATAAAAACTATATATATAATTTAATATTAGTGTCATAAAAAGCCATATCACATACTTCATCGGATAGTTGCTTCACTTGAGGTATATCCATGTAACTATTGAAATGTTGCATCACTTCCATCACAGCTTGTAATGGTAAAACAATTTCACCATACTGTTTCTTTTGCGTTAATACTCTAAAATAAAATTAAAGTAACATTGGAAAATAATAATTACTAAATTATATTAATTACATTTTTACTAATAAATTAATAATTATTACGCATTACTTTAAGGTATCTACACCTTCCACAAGCATGTGTAAATGATTTAAAGCTGTTATCGACGCAGTAAGATTTCTCTTGGCAAAATCCAATTGTTTAATATCTCTTGTTATTTCTTTAACAACCTCTTCGGATTGTTCTGCTTTATCTTTAATATCTTTAATATGCACGAATAATTGTTTTATTACTTTCTGTGCATCCTCTAACGCTGCCCTCCCATCCTGACCTACATTCGTTTGTCCACGTACCACCGAACGAATTTCCTTGTCTATATTACGTATTTTTAATTCCATATTGTTTACTACATCGTCTATATTCGATAGAGATTGTTCCGTTGGGAACAACGAATTTATATAATCCACTACATTAAAGTTTGATTGGTCCAATGGATCTGTACTAGGTAAAACCTGGAATCAAAAAATAATTTGTTTAATGTAAAATTCATTCAAATTACAAAAACAGAAAAAAAAGAAACAAATTACAATACTCAACATAAAGATAAAAAAGATAAAAAGAACATCAGCTATTTGTTAAGGATAAGTGTCATTGTACATTTTGACAATCTTACTGTCATCCTAACCTGTTCGATCACATTCTGTACATTTGGTGGAAATGTGTAAACAGTTGAATGTAAATCTTCTAATTCATCTTCCTCGTGCCCTTCCATTTTTATTTATGCTTTAATTTTGCCTATAAAACTCACATATACTTCATTCTAAACGTATATGCGTGAGCATATGACAAGAGGACACATATGAATACTTCAAAACCAGAATTGATAGAAGGAACGTTTTATTAACGCACTTATCGCTCATTTAAATAAATTTTTTTTACGTAACAATTAATTATTTTTATCGTAAGACCGAGCAGTAATGAGTCATTAAATGATATTTGCGTATGTATATATATATATATAAATATTAACACGTTGCAAATAAATATCACATTACAAATTTTTGTATTTAAAGCGTTGTAACTTGTACTAAGAGTTCAGTATTAAAAGAAATAAATTATTATTTCTACATCGAAACAAAACAAAAGACTGAAATTGGAAGTTTTATAATTTTTCACATACAGGTGATTTTCATGATATTTTAAAACTTTTGCAACGCGTTAATTTCACGTTAATTTTGCAGGTAAAATAGCAAGATAACAATGTTAATTATCATCATCATTTTAACATCAATTAACGTTAACTACCTACCACCGAATCTAATCTTTTCCATTGTAAATGTAAAGTGTTGTAAATGAAAAGTATGAGCTATCCGGCACACTCATACTATTAGAAGTGTTTAACGTTCCCTTCGCGAAAGTAATTAATATCTCTGTTGCAACGAACGGGATTGATTAAAATTTGCCGCTCCGTCTTATCATAAACGTATCGGCGCGGTTGTTTCGTTTCGGTTTGCGTCTCGTGCCATTTATTTCATGGCCGACCCATTAGCAAATCCAACGTTGAAGATCGCTCGATAAGAGAAAAGGCAGCGAGTCCCCACTCTATGTTTTATATTCTATGGGAGTTGGTCGAACGTCGAACGATCGAAAAGCTTGGTCAGTTGTAGCGCCGACTCGGCTCGAAGTTGTGTAGTTTAAAGGCACACCACTGTACAAAATAGACGCACGTTTTTTTTTTTTCTTCCTTCCTCGTATTAAGCAACGTAGAGAGAACGGTAACAATTCGCATAGAGGCAACGCGTGAGAAAAATCATACGACAATGCCGCGTCAATCAGCATGCTGGGGAAAATTCGTATTCGTATATATTTTACAATTATTTTCATGTAAGTTGTACGCAATCGTAAACACCCAACCCGGCCCAGTTCATTCTGTTCTTGACAGTGAAAATTGCCGATTGTTTTGCCCATCGAAATTTTCAGTGTCACCGTAACGTTTCAAATCGTAAATCTGGAGTTCAACCATCGGAACCGGAGTTCTCGATTCTGAGACACTCGCCCGACGGTTTCCGCCGCAAAAGCGGACATTTCTACAAACCACTCTGTTTCGGGTTTTTGAATGGCAGGGCTTGTATTATTGGTGTATTTCATTGATAGTATAAGAGAAACAAATGATCTGGTGAAATTATAGATTTATGTCAACGTGATTTCATTTATGCGAGCGTTACAGTTTTAAATTCAGCGTAAACGATACGAGTGCATTATCAAAATGAGCGAAAAGACAGACAGAAGCAGGTTTAGCTGTTAAATTGTTCAGTAATTTCGGCTAGAAATCAATCGACGAAATATCTCTTTTGAATGCCAGGCAATTCTGGCGAATTTACGAAGTGTACAAACGAGTTTACATTTTTCGCGGCTTTTTTCTTTTTTTAAAAGAACTTCCCATACGCGTCACACGTATTTTTCAATTATCCAAATTACTATATCGCCGGAGATGCCTCATTCACGACGTGTACACAAAAATACGTGTACACTCTAAATTTCATTATTGCGTTAACTCGTGAATGAAATTCGCTTGACAATCGAAAATTGCTTAATACATATACGTTCAATTTCGTTCGATCATTTGAACGAGTGACATAATGGTTGCAACCATTATTTCAAAATTTTTTTCTTCAGTCTGACAAATGCGTTTGTCATTTTCTCAGAAACAACGATTAACACAGAATACGAAACAGAATGATAATTCACACAGACGCAAGAATAACACGTTGTAACCCGTTTTTCGCTGTTTTCTCAGAATTTTCGCGAATCATCGGGCGGGAGGGAGGGGGTGGCAGAATTTTCGAAACGCCGAACGAGTTTTCATCACAGCCATTTGCTCGCTTTTTTTTTTTTTTTTTTCTTCGTTTCACGGTTCGCGCCGTGAAGCGTTCCGAAAAAGGACCCTCGAGCTGCGAACGTTATTCGAAAAACGGTTCCGCGACGCGAGTGAAAAAACCGATTTATAAATCCAAAAGCGTAGGAGCGGCGGGTGCAAAGCCGTGAGATTCCATTTCGCGACGATTATCCGAGTTGTCGAATATGCTTCGGTTTCGGAAACGTCTTAAAAGCCCCCGGAACAGGCTGCGCGCGTGTTGGTAACACGCGCTTTCAGTGATCGATACAGTAACACCTCCCAGCAACAGGGTACTGCCACAAGTAGTTATAGTCGAGCGAAACCTCTCCATTCTTCCGTACCGTTTCATTAGACCCTCGGTATTTTTCACGATGCCGCCCTTTTTCTTCTTTTTTTTTTTTTTTCTTTTTTCCCACGCTGTGCCCCCTGTGTTCGCGCTTTCTATTCTTCACGGATGATTTCTCACCCGGCAGGCTCATTAGACCGCCGATCCCGATCGTTTTGCAAACAGGCTGTGGAAAACGAGCGATAATCGAATGAACGGGACGAAAAGTTGACGCGAACACACGCTGGATCCGCTCCTACGACGACCTAGATTCGTCGCGGAGGAACTCGCTTGAATTAATAGACACTTCCCTTCCGGCACGGTAAATTGTATCGATCATCCGGTTATTAATTGTTGCCCGATGATGTGGCTCGGGGTAATTGTTGCCCGACACATTAACAGCGAATCGAACGGCTAGGAACGTTAACGCGGTAACATGTAAATTTGATCGTGCATGCTGTTTTCGTTAATCACGTCAGTTGATTTGCCTTGAATTGAAAGATACGATCTGTCCGTGGTGCACGACGTTTTTTGATTGAGATTTTACAGTCGAGGAGATGGATATTGTCTTTGTGACTTTATTTTTTTCCTATATCTGTATACACAAAGTGTATTGGTCATAAGTATTAGAACGTGACACATTTACATAATCGAGGACTAATAAATTTTATTCCATTATGGTATATTAAATTGCACGAAGAATACGACAAGCTGTGCTTTTCAGTTTCTACAGAACAGTTATTTGACTTTGGATTTTCGATTTTTATGATTTGACAAAACTATAGAGGATATTAAAATATCGCTTAATAATGATAATTTCATGTTTATTGTGAGTGGTCGAACTTTTATATTCAGATACATTTGTTTCCATTTGTAAGCAGAATTAACTATGATATTCAGATGACTAGGTTAATAAAATAAGTATGTCCGTCTGTATCATTCGCTTTGGTACTTCGTTTAAGAGAAAGCAGTGAAATATTGAAATTGAAAATATCGGGGTATCGCGTTTTGGAATATGTGGAAAAACGTTCGAATTGTACGAAGGACACTGAGGTAATTTTAGATCTGAATTTCCTATGGATCACTATGCAGTGACAGTTTTGACGTGTCAGAATGTTATCAGAAATCTATTTCTAAACGTGATCGTAATAAACGATCGATAATGTCGATAATGAAATGACTTGAGAAGGATTGTTTTCAATGACGGATTTAATCAACTCGCTGCTCCAAATTCTACCAGCAAACTTATTTATTTTTTCACCGATACATAGCGCAAAAATTGATTTTCCCACAATTCGATTTTACTTCGTTTTACTCTTATTTATCGTGGATTATTCTTTTTCTTTTTTTCTGTTTCAGTTATGGTCGTAATCGCGGCCAGTTTTACGATTTCAACAAACATATAAAACGGGAAACGTGATTCATTTTACGAAATGCACCATGTTCCATGTCATCCACTGACTAGAATCTGTCAGTTCGTTGTTCCGAGAATGAATTAATTAACAAATTTGACGTTGAGCCTCGTAACGAGGCAAGTTTATACTTTATGCGCGATACATTTCGTCATTTTCGTTTGCTATTATATATCCGTTTCGTACATACGTCTGACCACGCACAAACGAGAGAGACATTTGTGATTTGTTGAATTAATTATTATCCGTATCGTCATTACACGCGAAACATATTTTTGTCTCTCCGCGTGCTGCGCTTATCGGATTTATTTCAGCAAAACTATGCTTCAAACACTCCGGGATTGAGATTTTGCAGAAAATATTTGTTCCGTTTCTTTATTTGTTATTACACTATTTCTCTCTCTCTCTCTCTCTCTCTCTCTCTTTTCAAAGAAATGCTTGGAAAATGATCGTGTTTCATATCTTTCGGCCGTATATATGCTATTAAAATTTCACAGCGAGATGGATATTTTCGCAGGAATAAAATGTGATATTTTCATATTACGAGAGAAGCGCATAAATGATACGAAAGTACGTTAATCACTTCGCGTAACGGGAAAATGAAACAATTTCCAACCCTGGGAATATTTGATGAATCGAATGATATATGTTCGGCCGCAGAAATGACAAACGGGTTGTTTTTATGGGGATGCTGAATTTCAGTCATGCGAGCCGGCACGGAATTGTAATTACCCCGTATAAAGGCAAAGGGAATTATATTTACTTGTCAGGATATTTCATAAAAATGGCATGTCTTATCCTTTTGAACGGAAATTTGGCCAGTGAGCGGTCGTTAAAACCACTCACTTGCTAAAAAGTAACTACTTGCCGAAAGTTAATTAAAAATTTTTGATTACCAAAGCACCCTCGAAACTTTTCTTTGCCGACTGCAAAAAGCTAATGGAATTTCAATTTCAATGCGAGATGGCACGAAGTTTGTAATTGTCTCGTAAAAGAGCGAAGAGTAATATTTATTTTGCACGTTCAATGGTGTATATTTGATATTTCAGCGTTCAGAGTTTGGGAAGTTGAATTACGCTTCAATGAGAAAAGAATTCCAGAAATGCTTGTTTAATATCGTGAAATGAATTTATTAAACGTGTATCCTGTATTTTACTCAGAGAAGGAACTGTTTCGTTTCATTGAATAAACGAGACAGTAGAATTTGAATCAGAACATTCGCGAATACTTTATAAATTCCCGCGAACTAGAAAATTGCGAACGTTTTGCAAATACGTCGACGCATACGGCATTAAAGTGAGAGATTCTATTCCACTGAAACTGATTTCTCAGTATTCTTGCATTCAGGATATCCGCGGGGAACGTTTTCTCTATTAAATAAAACGTCGTTGTCGGTTTCAGATGCAACTTCCACGGTGCATGTGCGACTGATAGCACCGAACTTCGTAACATACAACAGCACAGCCACGCTGCATTGCAACCATAGTGTCTCGGATGCTGAATTGCATAAAGTCGAGTTCATGAAGGACGACAAGAAGATATTACAATACATAAAGGATAGGAAGCCACCGTTCCTCGAATCGAAAGTGGATGGCGCAAACATGGAGGTGAGTTTCAGTGCAATTAACGCACGACTGTTCTCCCCTGCCATTCAATTATGCAGTCTTTAAGCAATTGTGCACCAACGCGTCGCGTCCGCTACCCTAAGCAAACGATGATCCTCAAACTAGCAGCTCGTCTCCCTCTCTTTCACTTCGTTCTTTTTTTTTTTTCTTTCTCCCCTTACGTCGATGAAACGTCGTTTCGTATTTTTATTACGATACTTTATTACAAAGTTTTATTTACTTATATTTTAAATTGACAATCACAATAAATTTATATCTTTAGATAAAATTTTTGATTAAAATTGATTCTATTTAGTGTAAATAAATAATTTTTTATAAAACACTTTCCAGTACTTTCACTATGTTCACGACTTATTCCTATTAGAAATTGACGGACAATTTGCACACCAGTTAATACTTGATTCAATTGAAATAATTTAATTAATTTAACTATTAAATCCTTTTTCAAATTAATATTGAAAAATAATTATTCAAAAATAAGATTTTTCATGACTCATTTGTTCTTAAATATACTACATTTTGATTTAAAGTATTATTTTATAGAATCTTTATTTATATAAAATATTATAAAATTTAAAATATTATTTTTATTTATTATTTTATAGAATCTTTATTTATAATTTCTATTCATTAAATTATAATAACACGTTCGTTTATTATATTTAACCTCTCGTCGAATTTTACGAGAACAGCTCTCTTTATTTTATTACCTTTTGCGAAATTAAATTTGAAATATTTTGCTCCTCGAGAAAGAAATTTCTATTTTTTTTTCTCATGTACATAAGCGATTGCATGTAAAATGCGGCGAATTACGAAGATGGATCTTAGGACGTAGACACGGTTGACATTTCATAATCTCCTACTCGGCTTTTAATGGTTCCGAGCTTTTATTTCAGCTGCGAACGTTCCTCGCTTTCACTCGCGTTTTCACGTTGCGCTTAAACACCGTGTAATAGATATAAACTGTGCTTCACGTCTGTTAAACGGATGAAATTTTATAACCCATCACATTACGTTTTAATACTTGACGTTGTTGTAATTTCTTTTAATCCGTTCGCGTTGCGAGTGAATTTGAAATTTACGGCCGGCGCCCAGGTTTTCCCGTTTTATCGATTTCGCCCCCGCGTTATTCCATTTTTAAGGCTATTTAAGCCTTTCCTCCTTTTCTCTGGAACCAGAGAGCAATTTCGTCAGCCACGATCATTTAATCATCAACCATGCGACCATACTGTATTCTAACTTCGTACTGTATTTCATGTCAATGTTTGACGTCACGTTGATTTTTCGTTTCACGTCGAACGCCCTTTTTAAACATTAGCCTGCTCGAAATAAATGCAACGCACGCGCACGTTAATAAGGAGAAACGATTTTTAACGACACCTACTCACGAATATTATACATGAAAAAGTAATCCATTGGCCTAATGCATTTAACGATTCCGTGATATCTTGATAGATGATCGCGTGCTCCGGTTACATGCCGGTTTCCTGTGTATCCCGTGTTTCGTATTGTTCGTATCGCGAAGTTCTCCCTGCTGAACATGTGATGCTGGAACTTTTCAAATCTTTCTTTTTTATCTTTTTTTTTTTTTTTTTTTTTTTTTAATTGCTCGCTATTGTTAAATTTTTAATTCTGCCTCGAATGAAAATCGTGCATTTAAATTAGACATCAGACTTTCATCCCGCGATGTCGACGTGATTGAAGAAGTTTTCAATTCCGGGCTGATTTTGCAATACTGAGTACAACTGCTCACAAAAACTCGGGGATACCTCAAAGTGAATTATGAAGCGATTGAAAGAAAAAGAAAGCATTTTGATTTTGCTTTTCTGACGTTCTTGTTTGATAAAAAAAAAAAAGAAGTGAAATACTTCTTGCAATATCCAACGCAAATATCCCCTAATTTTTGTAAGCAGTATATGTTCCTTTCTATTTCTAAAACGATACGCGTCTCTCTTCTCTTCTTTCATCACGTAATTAAAAATGAATCGTCTAAATGCTTTTTTTAATGGTCGGGTTCTCGAAAATTTCAAGATTCCCGAAGGAATTGGATTTCCCGAACTATCGTTTCTCGAACTACTCTGCAGTGCTGTATAGCAGCCTACAAACTATATAAATACACAGTTCGATTTCTTCTGCCAGTGAAGTTATTGGAAACGCGGATTCTAAGAATCGCGCGACCTGATGTATACAAACGCGTGACTGCGCGCTTAGTACTTTGACATTATGTACGCCGTTGAGCAGTATCGCTGAGAAATTCGGGAAGNTATATCTCAAAATCTGTGTGAATTTAATAAAGATTAAAAATCTTTAAAAAGAAATGTCGAGTGACAGTGAGAGTAAAGTTGTGGCAGCAGGAAGCAGTGCGGAAGATGTCGTGCAAAGGAAGAAGGTAAAGAGAAGCTCTGTTCGGGAACATTTTCAAGAAAATGATGACACAAAGGCGGAATGCACGCATTGTCATCATGAATTTAAAACTAAGTATGCAAATACTACTGGTTTATTACGCCATTCGAAAGCACACGCATTCAAACATTAGTATATATATGCTAGAAAAGAAACTGAATCGATATCAAATTTGTCGCATGTATGAAATGATACGCGAAAGATTGTTGAGCCAAAAGACATAACAGAAGGAATTGCTCGAATGATGGTTCTAGATTTGCGACATTTCGATACAGTTGAAGGCGTGGGCTTTATTTAAGCTTGTTCCGAATTATTTAAGCTTGTTCCCAATCCTTTCCCAAATCCAAACTCTTTCGACAATCCCGATGAATTCGAGAATCTCGAAATTTTCAGTACCCGACCTGACCTGATATTTCGGCTTCTCTCTATTTTTTAACTACGACGATACAAAACATATTTTATAGTTGGCAAATTAAAGGACGAACAGGGTACAAACAGTATCGCCATTATCTTATACTCTTCCTTTTGGAAGTTTCCACTGGAGTTTAAATTGCAACTGACATTAAAATGCATTTCTATAATAACCAAATGTCAAAGGGTCGTCCAATTCTGATAATTAAAGTTCGGACAGAAAACTTATTTACATGAAAATTGTAGATTTTTAGAATCGTTATTCGTAGATTCGTAGAATCGTTGATATATTTAGAAAATATAAGCTCCCACGAATATCAAAAGTTGGAAAATTTTTCTAACAATCAATTGTAATACTTTTTGTCGGGCGATTCAAGTGTGCGGCTATTCGAGGTTTTCTTCTCAACCCTGATTTTACGACTTTAATATCGCGTTAAGGTTTTCCTGCTTTTAACCTCAATTTCATGACTTTAATATCGCTTTTAAGGTTGCGTCGTTACATGCATATCTCCAAATGCATTGTTGTTATCAGTTGCAATATACGAGCGGGGGGGGGGGGGGGGGGGGGGGGAGTGTGCAGAAAGTTTGTAAAACGTTTCTGCGCAAAAAAAACGCCGAAGGTTTTCAAGATTATCCGAAGATAATTCACGTCGCTGTCCTTCGCTTTTTTTCCACGCATGCTCGATATTCAACTCAATATTCAAAACGTTTTTCGTGTCATTGTCACACTGATAATTTATTTGAGTGGCTACTTTAGACAAAACATTATATATAGTTGTATCCTTGGACAAAGCCATATTATTATCGTCGCTTATCTAGTCTGTGGTGCATCATGGTGCAACGAGGTCTTATCGCTGTAGTTATTTTTCAGTATCTGAAACATTAAATTTTTTCCTTTATCTCCAAGCATCGGGAGCCTGTTATTATCGTTATCGTTGTATATTCCTACATAATAATATATACATAATAATATATAATAGGTATACGTTGAGTGTGCATTATGTACATGATAATACTAAAAAATTTTCATTGAATAAGATAGTTCATTTTCTGTGCTGTTTGACAATATGACGATCGGCTATTTTTAAAAAGCAAATTGCGTTGCAAAATTTACAAAATGCACACATATGAACTTACGTATGTACGTGCGTACATGTGTGAAAAATTTGTAAAAGATAAAAAGGTATAAATAGTAACGCACAAGTTTACATACATTCGTAAATTTCTAAATTACTAAATTACTAAATTTAATTAGTAATTACTAAATTAATAAATTACTAACTTTATATATTTAATATATATATATTTAAATTACTAAATTTATATATTTACTATATATATACTTAAATTACTAAATTTATATATTTACTATATATATATATATATATATATATACTTAAATTACTAAATATATATATATTTACTATATATATACTTAAATTGCTAAATTTATATATGTAATATATATATATATATATTTAAATTACTAAATTTATAATTATATATATAATTACTTAAATTGCTAAATTTATATATTTAATATATATATATATATATATATATATATATATATATTTAAATTACTAAATTTATAATTATATATATAATTACTTAGATTGCTAAATTTATATATTTAATATATATATATATATATATATAAATTTAAATTACTAAATTTATAATTATATATATATATACTTAAATTACTAAATTTATATTTATTTATTTATATATAATCCTTGTCTAGGCGGCTTAGGATGGCTTCCGGTTTACAATGGGTCTGCATTTTTCTTATTTCTACTCTTATAACTAATCCTTATCATCTACGTCTTATGAATCTAATTTGCCTTTTTAATATATATATATATATACTTAAATTACTAAATTTATATATGTAATATATATATTAAGTTACTAAATCAATTTTTTGACGGTAGTCGTTGAAAATAATGCTACGGTAACCGGTCGTCGGCTATCATCGGTTATCGAAAATCACGTAACGCTACAATAACGTCTTTATAGTGTTAATCGACACTGCAATATCGCCATCATGGTCAATAAAGTTCAACGAACATGTACATGTCGTTAATACGCCGCCGATGCATCGGAGGTTTATATACCCCGTCTGGTCCAAAAATAAATCATCCGAGCCGTCTGGGTTTTTTTCT